GGACCAAGAGCATATTAATATATTAAATAGACAGGAAGTTCTACCTATTATAATTAATATAAACGAAGACAGTGATTCCAGTAGCATATCTGACGTGGAAAGTGTTTAGTAAATAAAGCTAGCTTTAAGTATTAAAATAAAAGCTTTGGTTTTCTTAGGTTAAATTGATGATGAAACAAAGTTTTTCTAAAAAAAAGCATAAAAAGGTATTACAAAGACTTCTTCTTCTTCTGCCTACTTTATAAATAGGCTTAATGCCTGTTTTACTTCAGTTTTTAGTCTTAAATGACGTTGTCTGACCATCTTTTCTTCGGTCGTCCCAATGATCTTCTTCCATTTGGCGATGTGTCTCTTGCTTCTCGTACTATTCTATTTTGTGTCATTCTTTCGATGTGTTGATTTCATTCCACTTTTCTTCTTTTGGTCCACGCATTTATTTCCTCTATACCACATCTCTCTCACTTCCTCACTTCTTACTTTGTCTCTTACAGTTTGGTTTGTTATTTCTAGTAAGACGTTCATTTCTGTTGTTTCCAGCAGTCTTTGTGTTTTCGCCGTATTGCTCTTGTTTCCGCTGTGTACGTCATTATCGGTCTTATTGTTGATTTCTATATCCTGGTTTTCGTTTAAGTTGTGAGGTATTTGTTTCTCCAGATTGTGTTGTTGAGACATCCTGCTGCTCTGTTTGCCATGTTCACTTGTTTTTGTACTTCTTCTTCAACTTTTCCGTATATTGACAGTTTTATGCCCAAGTATTCAGTTTCCATCACTTGTTCTATTATTTTGTTATTTACGACTAGTTTACATCGTCTCGGTTCCGCTGATATCACTATCGTTTTAGTTTTCTCTGTTGAGATCACCATGTTGTATATGAGCGCCGTATCTTCGTATTCTTTAATTAATCTTTGTAGGTCATTTGCATTTTCGGCTGTTATTATGTCATAGTCGGCGTAGCATATTATCCTTATTTCCTTTTCTTCCATTCTATATCCTCTTCTTTTTTTAACTTTCTTTATGATTTCATCCATTATCAGATTAAATATTAATGGGATCAGCGAATCTCCTTGTCTAATACCAGTTTCATATTTGATAGGTTGCGATAGTTTTCCTTTACATTTTACCATAGCTATGATATCTTCTTTAACTAAAGGCCTTCCCCTTCATCTTTGTTGTGGTATGTAATTTAAATCTTTCTTTGGCCATCTATCTTCATTCATTCGCTTCACGTGACCATACCACACTAGTTATCTCATTTCAATTTTGTCTACACTGGAATATAGTGTATTTGTCCTCCTTCTAATATCTCCATATGATCTTTTTTTGGATACACCATACGCTGACTTTAAAAAATCCATTTCTACTACTTCTATTCTTTTTCTATCTTTTTTCGTGATCTGGGAACCTTCTGCCCCATAAGTCATAATAGGCTCTACCAAGGTTTGATAGATTGTCCATTTTATTTCTTGTCTAATATCTTTAGACCATAGTAGAGAATTTAGAATGTTAACCGCTTTTTTCCCCGCTGCGTTCTGTTTTCGATGTCTCTTTTAGTAGTGCCTTCTTTAGATATTATAGATCCGAGATATTTATATTCATTGCATGTTTTTGTGTTTCTAATTTCTAACTCTTTCTAATTTTTATTGAATCTATTCTGTCTGGGTCTGTCACTGGTAACGCCACTTTACCGTAAAATGTGCGTTTAAACGAGGTACAAATTCAAAAGATTGGCTACTAGAATTGTAAGGGTGTAAACTATTTAATGGTTACAGCTGTACATTTATCATCATCATTATCATCTGACCTTCATTTATCACGTCCACTGCTGAACATAGGCCTCCTTTAAACTCATCTATTTTCTCAGATTTAGTGCTCTTTGTTGCCAATTTTTGGTGATACGCCTAATGTCGTTAGCCCAACGTGTGGGTGGTGTTCCTCTACTACGTTTGTCTGCTCTTGGCCTCCAATTTGTAATTTTGCTCGTCCATTGTGAGTGGTGCACTCTCGCTATATGGCGTGCCCAGTTCCATTTCAGTTCTGCTATGCATTCCACAACATCAGCAATACTCGTCCTTCTTAGGAGATCTTCGTTTCTTATTCGGTCCCTCAATGTCACTCCCAGCATAGACCGTTCCATTCGTCTCTGTGCCGCTCTCAATTTCAAAGCTGTATTAATTAGAGTCATAGTTTCCGACCCATAGATCATGACCAATAAAACGCATTGGTCAAATAGTTTTCTTTTAAGGGTAATTGGTATGTTGACCCTGTGTGTGTTTCGTCTTTGGGTTTCACATGTATGTCTTGAATAGTTAAATGCACAGCTTTACATAAAATTCTAGGTAATAACTAATTTTCTTGTAACAAATACGTTGCAGGTAAATATAAAATAAAAATATGTTTCAAAACGCTAAATCTTGTCATAACCTTGTTAATTAACATAAAACTTTTTTAAATGTTGAGCAAAAAAGGTGAAACTGAGGCTAACAAACATTTCCGCGTTAAATCTGCAGTGCACGCGGATTAGGTATATCGAAAGGATTTATAAATAATGTAAATATTTTCTTAATTATACTTTAAAAAATATTATAAAAGAATTTTATTAATTTCATTTTAAAATTACTTATTTCATATTTTTATTACTAGAGCAATTTACTTTCGGACCTATTTTGCTGTATAGTATAGTGGACCATTGGCTGTCTGCGATGGAGTTTCTAGCGATAATCCAAAAAAGTCACCAATTTGTGAAATTTACTTTATTATAATATATGGTGTTACTATGAGAATAATGGCAAACAGAGCTTTTCTTTACACACAGAGAATTATATACAACAACGAAAATAACTGAGTAAAAAAATGATAAAGCACACACTCAAACTACTTTACTCAAAAAAAAAACAAAACCATATGCCGTAGGTTACACAATCAATTTTGTGAAAATTCAGACAACAGCAGCTTTCACTGTTACCTACATTTATTTATTCGTTATATATAAAAAATATATCAAATGTTCTTCAGAAATCTATACAAAGAAGTACACTTCCAACCCCAAAAATAACTCATATTTAATTTATCACGAGTATTTTCAGAAAATCGAACTTTTACCCCATCTTCATGAATTTTTTATTACGATTTTCGGTGTAGTGTACCAAAAACCTCCTTTGCATTTTACGTGGTCTACAAACCATTTGGAACTTGAAATATTTATAATCTAAAGAAACGGTATGTTTTGTAGTAATCTATAAAAATAATTTAAAATATCCGTATTCTGCTTTTTTTTTTTGTTTTTAATATTGTTTTGAAGCTATTTTCTTTTGGCATTTTAAAGTAGTTAGTATTTAAATGGAAATAAGCCACAATTAAAGGTCAAAGTAAGTTTATTGACGTTTCAATTTCCACTTCGGAAATTCATTCTATTCTATTGATGACAGTAAAATTCTCGTTATTGATTCCATAGTAAATTATGAGGAAAATCAGAAAAAAACCTCATAATATTATCCCAATATGGTTAATATTTGGTCATACATTTAGTTTAACTTCAATAAACACCAAATTCTGATTTTATATCTTTGTTATTTAAACAATACTAGCTGGAGAAAACTTAAGAAAAATATTCTGGATGCTGCCCGAGAAGCCCTTGGAACGACAATAATAAACAAAAAGTGGTCAACGAAAACACCATGGTTTACACTAGAGGTTAAACAAACATGTCACCAAAAAAAGAAAGCTTTTCTAAAATATAAGTCAAAAAAAAAACGAATGAATCATATGAAGAATATAAAAGAATAAGAACTAAAACTCATCAATTGGTAAGAAAAACAAAGACAGATTACTGGGAAAGATTCACGAAAGGACTAGAGATGGATTTCTATGGACAACAGAAACAATTATGGCGCTTTATAAGACAACCAAGAAGCGAAATAAAAGAACTAGTTGAAATAGAGCACATACAAGAGGATACATGGGTGGCATTAAAAAACAAAACAAAACGAAGAACCTTTACCAGAAACGTCAAATATAATAACTGAGAAAAGGACCGAAATGTCCCAAAACGATGTGAAAGAAAGAATAAACAAATTAAAAAATAGAAAGTTACCAGGAGAAGATCAAATACCAAATGAACTCTTAAAATATGGATGTAATTACCTTGTACAACAACTGAAACTTCTTATTAATAAAATAATCACCACGAACAGAATACCAGATGAATGGAGGAGAGCGATCATGGTGATGTTCTTCAAAAAAGGAGATAAAAAGACCCCAATAATCGAGCAATAAATCTTTTATATACAACACTTAAATTGACAACAAGAATAATAGCGACAAAAATAAACGAACGAATATCTTTCCAAGAGGAACAGCAAAGATTTCGGACAGATCATGCACGGATGCAGTTTTTGTAATAAGACAAATAAAAGAAAAATCGCTGGAATACAACAAACCAGCATATATGTGTATAATAGATTTGAAGAAAGCGTTTGATAGAGTGAGAATTCGGGACGCGATACATTTATTATATGAAAAGAGAATATCACTGGATTTAGTAAAAAACCATTGAGAATATGGAACCATTACTAACAGCCGAAAATGACGATGACATACAAAGATTAATTAAAGAATTCGAAGATACGGCTCTCTTATACAACATGGTCATCTCAACAGAGAAAACTAAAGCGATAGTGATATCAGCGGAACCGAGACGATGTAAACTAGTCGTAAATAACAAAATAATAGAACAAGTGATGAAAACTGAATACTTGGGAATAAAACTGTCAAGATACGCAAAAGTGGAATAAGAAGTACAAAAACAAGTGAACATGGCAAACAGAGTAGCAGGATGTCTCAACAACACAATCTGGAAAAACAAATACTTCACAGTGGAAACGAAAACTGTTTTGTTTTAGCTCATATCTACATTCGATTCCCACCAAAAAGTGTAAGACGCTGGATAACCGGAAAATTTATACATATAAGAACCTTACTATGACAACTAAAAATTTACTTACGTAATAATTTATGAACACGATCCCATTGATCCGGATGAGAGGCTATCCTTACCATCAATTCAAGAAGTACTTCACTGGCTCCGAGATTTTTTCTTTTCGAAATAACCTGTAATAAAAATAATATATGTTTAGATGTATAAATATGATTTTTGATATTCACATAATCACAATCAATAAATTATGAAAGGTGAGTTTAAGTTTAAGATTTTAAAGCCGATCGATGATCATTTCATCTGAACGTTAAACTGGTACTAATTATCGCTCCTGCCTTTTATTGGGGATGGATAAAGGGATGAAATACCTATTTTCTCAGTGAAGAGTTGCGAGTAAAGCATGTCTCGCGTGGGAAGGGTCGTTTCTTTAAAGTACTGAAATCGTAGAGAAGTTTGTACCTGCTATCCATAGCATATCAGCATAGTCTAAATTTACTTGAAAAATATCGAAAATACGCCTATCCCTTGCACTATCAATTAGTGATTACTTAATAATATGTTTTTTTCACTAATTAAGCAGTTCAGTTGGTCAGTGTCTCTTTAACCTTCTGACTTTCAGTTTAAAGTATACCTTTCTTGCTTCGTCGCTAATAGGAACCCAAAGCAGTTGACTTGACACAACCCCATAGTTGCATTTCATATATCCATATAGGCTTGAAACTGCATGGACTGAAATTTTCATCATCATCATCCAGCCCTTTGCGTCCACTGCTGGACATAGGACACCCTCATTTTTGTACATTTTTCTCTCTCTTGAGCACTTTTCATCTAATTTCTTGACATTTTCTTGAGATCGTCAGTCCAATGAGTAGAGGGTCTTCCTCTACTTCTTTTGTCTAACCTAGGCCTCCACTCAAACAATCTCTTTGTTCACCTTTCAACACTGTTTCGGGCGACGTGTGCGGCCCAGTTCCATTTCAGTGTAGCAATTCCTGCGGTAACTCCTGTTCTTTGTCGTCAGTCTTCATTTCTAACTCGGTCACGAAGCGATACACTTAACATTGATCTTTCCATTTTCCTCTGAGTTATTGGCAGCGTTTTAGAACTTGTAGCTGTCAATGTCAAAGTTTCGGCACCATAGTTCATCACATGTAACACACATTGGTTGAATGTTTTACGTTTTAAAGAAATTGGTATAGCGCTTTTAAAGATGTCTATGAGTTTTCCATAGGCTGTCCATGCTAGGTTTATTCTTCTTTGTAGTTCGCATGTTTAGTTGTCTCTTGTGATTTTTATTTCGTGTCTAAGATATCTGTATTTTCTACCAGCTCTACTTAGTTGTCTCCAATATTGATATTTCCACTAGGTACTAGGTTTGTCATGAATTTTGTTTTATAGATGTTTATTTTAAGACCCACACTGGCACACACTAACTGTAGTGTACTAAGTTCAAGTAGCATTGTACATATCTCCTTGAGGTTGTCAGAGAACAAAACTATGTTGTCTGCGAATTTCAACCTGGTTAACCTCATACCGTCAATGTTTAGGCCTTTCTCTTTCTAGTTAAGTTTTTTACAAGCATATTCTAGTGCTGCAGTAAACAGTTTAGGCGATAAGGTATCACCCTGTCAAACTCCTCTGCCGATTGGGATATGATGGGATATGCCGTGTTTTCATGTAGTTTCACCAACATAGTTGCGTTCTTGTATGAATTGTAAATTAACCTTATATATCGGTAGTTAACACGGCAAGTTTGTAGTGCTTCCAGGATTTTGTCAAATTCTACCGTGTCAAAGGCTTTATGGAAACCTACAAGTCAGAACGAGTGGTCGATTGTATTCGATAGTCTTGTCTATTACCGTTTAAATGCTCTGTAGGTGATAATTTTTTCCAAATCCAATACGAAATCTTGCTTGCTCTATTGGCTGGTAGATAAATCATTGACTGAAATTTTATTTTGTTGAAAATATTGTTGTAAATAGGAACTTAAACTTAATGGCTGAATATGCCGAATTATAAAGTGCGAAACTTATTCTAGTATTATTCTGAATAAAAGCTCTTGCATTTTAAACTAAAATTCCCTCCAGTGATGACTAGAGATGACTGTCAAAAGGTGCACCTATTCTTTTGAACCGAGTTCGCCGCCGTGACACGGTGGACCTAGTTCGTCTTTTGTCAATAGGCATGTGCAGGTGCAGTGCAACCAATTCCTTCGAATCAAGTTTTGGAACTAGGACTCGGAATATTTGGATTCGTTCGGCAACGGCCGAGCGGCATAGTCGGAATCGGAACGGAATTTGGAACTCGACTGGGATTAATAACTGAATAGTGAATTGATTATAGCTTGGCCCTGCTGCTGAACTGGTTCGTTGTATGCTCTAATTCGAGATGGTAAAATTCGGTTGGTATCGGTTCACTCGTAGCAGTTAGGGAATGGGCAAAGATGTTATTTGAGAAAGTTTGTTTTTTTTATGATAATGAATGTTGTGTCAAATTACACTGCAAGGTGTCAAAAAAATAAGTAGCTATTAAAAAATAAATTCTTTAATAAAAATAGTTTTATTACAATATTAGGTATATAAAAAAAAACAAATACAAAATGATATTTATAAGCTAGAATGTCTAAAATTTAAAAAGTCATTTTTAATATGCAAAAATAATAATTTTTCGACTTATTGAGCACTTAATCGCGTACGTTTTTCATTAAAAATTTTTCCAGCTGTCGAAAATAGACGTTCGCATGGAACAGATGTGACTAAAGCAAACTTGTTTCTTATAAGTGAACTTAAATTATGTCGATTGGTTTTCCACCAAAGAAGGGAATCTTCGTTTTTATTTAAGATATCATCTTCAATATAACGCTGCACTTTAATGATAGCTTTACTAATCCCTGTCCTTACCGGTTGTTTTTTAAATATTTTGTTATTTAAAAAGACCAAAGCGACTATTTGCTTCTCGTTGATTCACTGCTAGTAGTATGTTCTTTTTCCATTTTGTCTGCGGTGGAGCCCTAATTTGTACAACGAGATCTGCTGCCATATTTGTCACTTTTTTCTTTATCTGATCTGCAGCTACAAATTTTTTACTTTCTTTATCTGATCTGCAGCTACAGCTTTGAAATGGTGAAAGCTTGAAACGTATTGGCAGCCAGCGTAACATTTTTTAGTTTTCTTTGGAGTTTTTAGTGTTTAGAGTCCATTATTTAGTTTACCAATAACTTGGTTTGATAAATCTGATTTCAGTTCGCCAGAAGTAATCATTTCCTCCTTTACATTTGTTAGACCTCCAGTAAGTTCAATTACCAATGACGCCGATATGTATTTTTCCCCAGTTACTGAGGAAGTTACAGTTTCAAAAGGGCGTAAAATGCCCCATTCTTCTAACGTTATTATAGGTAACGAAATGTTTAAGAGAGCAATTGTCGATCTTATTGCATCCTCCAATTCCACAAATTGCTGTAATATGGCAAAGGTGGAATTCCACCTTGTAGAAACGTCTTACAATTTTTTTTACTATACTGCAATAATTTATCATTAGCTGCTGAACTTTTTTTAAAGTAGGTCACTATTAATTTTACTTTGGTGACGATCGGCTCAACTAGTTTTAAAGCATCTTACACAATTAAATTTAAACTATGTGCAAAACAGCCAAGATGCTTCATTCAAGTCTTCTATTGCTTTTTTAATATTCGCCGAATTGTCGAAAACTATGATAGATACCTTATTTATTTGTGACCATTCTTCTATAATAGTTTGCAATGCTCTTAATAAATTAATGCTAGTATGTTGTTCATTAAGTTGATGGTATTTTAGTAACATTTGTCGCACGTTAAACAATTTATCTACAAAATGCATTGTTACTGCCAAAAAGCTTTCACCATTTATAAAAGTCCAACAGTCCGTTGTCAAACAAACACTGGATATTTCCTCTTCTTGAACAAATTATTTCCTGGGAATTACCGGTCGTGCGACAGCCCTCGGCCATCTATTAGTGTACATGATTATATGGTATTTATTTAATAACTACAACAAACAATTGTAACATTCCGTAGAGAATAAAAATAGTTTGGGTTCATATATTTAATATATCATATTAACATAAAATTAAAGTAACAATAATGGCTACAAACATGATAGTATTTGTAAGTCCATATTACAATAGTAAATACTGCAAAGTGTATACGTCTTCTTTAACTTTGTTCCGTAACTAGTATATATTTAAGAGACATTCTTTTCTTTTCTGTATACTTTAAACCATAGAAAAATATTGTACTTTTCAAAGCGTAAAGCGCGAAAAATTGAGATTGATCTGAGAAAAGTAGAACGTGATTTAGTTACAATTTGTTGTCAAAACCTGTTAAGGTTACCAGGTGCACCTGCACCTGCAAAAATGAACCGAGTCTGCAGTCGGAATCGGAGTCATTGCACCTGATCCCTTGATGGAACTGACTTTGTCATCTCTAGTGATGACATAACTCAGTGGTTAGAATCTGCCGGAGGAGCCCGGTTTCGATCCTGGCAAACACAAGAAATTTTTCAATTCTAATTTAACAGAGACGTCATGTCACTGTTGGTCCCGGCTTCGTAAGTAGTCGGTAACACTAAGAAAATAGACTCGGAAACGTTTTTTTACATAGTTAAAACTCTTAAACTATCTTTTTTTAAATAGTTTATGCACGATGAAAACTTGGTCAGCAGCACATCATTTTTAATCACCACTTTACTTTGGCCAGATTTCTTTGGATGAAGTTTACAGTTCGCAGTTGAATGATTAGTGCGCTTTACTAGTGATAGTAGATATAAATTTTGTGAAAATTAGTTAGTTTTTAGTTCTTTATTTTTTAAATAAGTTTTTACAGAGTATTCGTATTATTATTAATTCTCAAGTCAATGTTAAACGAAAATTAAAATCAGTAGCGAGACTTTGAGATAGTGCGGAAAGTTTTAATCAATACGGGAAGAGTATTATAAAGTTGTAAAGTAAATACAAAAACCTGAGTGGTCTTGAAAATTACTTGTTAATTAAATGGTCTTCAAATTTATACTCAAAATTAAACTTTAATATTAACAACTCTTTTCAATAATAAATAATTCATGTTACATATAAAAAAATTATCTATTTTCATTAGACTGATCTTACCCACAAAACAAAAATTGACTAAGGTGTAGCTGCATGTTTAAAAGCAGAGAATAGTAACGATAAGTAATTAACAACTCATCAAAACAAAAAATCAGGATCTTTAGACTGACACGTGAAACCCAGAATGAACAGATTCTGTATGAGTTTAAAGAAAAATATGATGGTGATATGTTGGAAATAAAATTTTTTAGTGTTTTATTCTGAGAGAAAATCTAAAAGCGAAAGAAAAAGAAGCAATGGAAGATGCAAAATAATTGAGACTCTGCAGTTAAAGTACGATAGTCACAATGTACAAAGAAAAGTTAAAGAACTCACAAGTGGACTAAGATCGTGACAAAGGAAATCTAACTAACGGTAACATAAACTTGGACAAATAGAGTAAAACGAGAATGTTAAAAGAATGCCTGGAGAGATTGTTTAAAGACAAAAAAAATAACACCTTTTAGCTAAAAGAGGAGGTACATGATGGACGCAGAATATTCCAGCAGAAAGTTTATTCTGTAATACCACAGCTTAAGAATGGGAAAGCAGTAGGTCCCAATAATGTACCGGGTGGTCCAATAAGCCGATCTCTCGGCTATATATCAGAAACTATTCATGTTATAACTTTAGGAAAAAAAAATCCTTAGTAAAAGTGGCCAAGAGAAATCGCTGGAAATAACTTTCAAGATTCTGGATTAACCGCTAGGGGGCGTAACCTGCGAAGAAAATTTTAAAAACCAGTTTTTTGGGAAATATGTCCAATTATACAATTATATAAGTGTTAAATAAGTAAACTAGAAAGGGGCATAAATTCTGCACAAAGTTGTTCAAATACTTTTTTTTATTTTTTCAAATAAAGAGTGGGGGAGAGTGGGAAAGTATTTGTGGATAAATACCTATAACTTTGGTTTGGTCTAATTGATTTTAATGAAATTAGTGTCATTAGAAAGAGTGTGAATAAATTAATTCACATCTACTATAAAATACTTGCATTTAGTTTCCATAGTCGTAGGTAGAGGGGACTTTCAAATAAAAAAAATTAAAATTTGTTTTTCTTCAAAATTTTTAATGGAAACACCTATTTATTGTAAATTATAATGAAACTGAAATAAATTCGTAACAAAATAGAGTAAACCGCATGTTAATAGCTTTTGTTGAACTCGAGATATGAATAAAAACTCATAAACATAAGTAAGTATAGTATTGACACACCCTGTATTATAAATTACATTAAAAAATAAGTCAGTAGGTATTTTAAATTTTTTTATAGCAGAAGAATCTAAACGTTGATACCTATTTTGTAAAAAATAGTTTTTTCGAAACTAAGTAGGCTACGACAATGAATTTGGCGGGGAGTTCATATTGTTTATTTATTGACAGCAGTCAAAACATTGTTAAGAAGTGCTATATTATAACTCGAATTAAAGATTGCACTTTTTTCAATAGATATTAATATTGGTAATATTAGTAATTAATTATCATTACAAATAATTCGTGATGAGTATATCAAATTGTACGATATGATTGGAGTTTATTTCGAATGTCACCAAAATGCCGCTATTGCCTCACGTATATATTTTGTAAGATATCGTGACAGGAGACATTATGGCAAAGAAGTATTTGAAAGAAAGGCAAAAAGATTAAGAGAAACTGCTAGTTTTTCTCGTCCTTGTTTTAAACGACGTAGTAGAGTAGTTATGACCGAAGATAATTCAATCAATGTTCTTGCTTTAATTCAACAGAATCCACATATAAGTAGCCCGAAATCTCTACTTCTTTGCCACAATATCTCCTGCCAGGATATCTTACAGAATATATACGTGACGCAATAGCGCAATTTTGGTGATATTCGAAATAAACTCCAATCATATCATACAATTTGTTATACTCATCACGAATTATTAGTACTGATAATTAATTACCAATATTACCAATATTAATATTTATTGAAAAAAATTCAATTTTCGATTCGAATTATAACACATATAACACTTCTTAACAATATTTTGACTGCTGTCAATAAATAAACAATATGAACTCCCTATCAAATTCATTGTCGTAGCCTACTTAGTTTCGAAAAAGCAATTTTTAATCATATGAAATAACAATGATCAAAATAGGTATCAACATTAAGAGTTTTCTGCTATAAAAAAATTTGAAAGTACCTACTGACTTATTTTTTAATTTATTTTATAATACAGGGTGTGTCAATACTATACTTACTTATGTTTATGTGTTTTTATTCATATCTCGAGTTCGATAAAAGCTATTAACATGCGGTTTGCGCCATTTTGTTACAAATTTAATCCAGTTTCATTATAATTTACAATAAATAGGTGTTTCTATTAAAAATTTTGAAGAAAAACAAATTTTAATTTTTTCTATTCGAAAGTACCCTCTACCTACGACAATTAAAACTAAATGCAATTATTTTATAGCAGATGTAAATTAACTCATCTATACTCTTTCTAATGACACTAATTTTGTTAAAATCGGTTGATCCAAACCAAAGTTATAGGTATTTATCCACAAATAGTTCCCCACTCTTCCCCACCCTTTATTTGAAAAAATAAAAAAAAGTACTTGAACAACTTTGTGCTGACGTTACGCCTCTTTCTAGTTTACTTATTTAACACTTGGTATAATTGGACATATTTCCCAAAAAACTGGTTTTCAAAATTTTCTTCGCAGGTTACGCCCCCTAACGGTTAATCCAGAATCTTGAAAGTTATTTCCAGCGACTTCTCTTGGCCACTTTTACTAGGGAATTTTTTCTCCCAAAGTTATAACATGAATAGTTTCTGATATATAGCCGAGAGATCGGCTTATTGGACCACCCGGTACAAGCAGAACTACCAAAACTAATGGACTACGAATCGATAGCAATAATTACAAAGATACTCAACAATACCTGGACAGGTTTTTGACGAAATATCGTAATCGATAGTTTACTGCTGATTCAAAATTATTTTTCTCATAATAATATCCTAAGGGTCTAAAATTGTATTTAATTTTTATCGTAACCACCTCATTTTAACCTCAGGTTGCGCTTTTTATATCGTAAACGACAAGGTAGGATCTCATATGTCATCCATGATTTTTTCTTCATCAATCTATCTGTCTCTTATTATGTAATATGTTTGATCGTTTGTTCTTCGTTTGATTTGTCTCTAATTGCAGTAATTTGCTTGTTTAACGTGCTTTGGACTACCATCCTCGAATTAAGGTCTTTTAGCATACATAGGTCGTATGATTGAGATTTACTTTTCTGCACTGTTTTGAGTTTGATTCGAAATACTCCCACCAGTGGAACTTAGTCTGTTTCCAAGTCTGCTTTAGGATAAATCTTAACAGATGTAAAGCTGTTTCGGAATCTTTAATTTACTAAAATGTAGCCTATTTAATTCCTAATAATTCTCTCGGCTCTATCTTAAGGGGATTTCTACGTGTACAGCTTGCGAGGTGGTAATTGGAAGAATATGTTGGTGATAATTAGTTCTGGGTCTCCTGCGAACTTTTCTAAGAGGTCTGCTCTCTCGTTTTTGACTCCAAGTCCATATGCTATGTGCTTCAATGTACTGTGTCTTATCTCCAGCTCCAATTTTGACATTAAAATCGCACATAATAATAACTAATTCACAGCAGCTCAAAATAGATCAGTTAACGTTAGACCAGTATATTTCCTAAGATTAGCCACTTACAGTGCCTCTCTTACCCTCAATTCATTTTACTT